GACCGCCTCTGGACCGTCTCTGGACCGTCTCTGGACCGTCTCTGGACCGTCTCTGGACCGTCTCTGGACCGTCTCTGGATCGTCTCTGGACCGTCTCTGGACCGTCTCTGGACCGTCTCTGGACCGCCTCTGGACCGCCTCTGGACCGTCTCTGGACCGTCTCTGGCTCGTCTCTGGACCGTCTCTGGACCGCCTCTGGACCGCCTCTGGACCGCCTCTGGACCGTCTCTGGACCGCCTCTGGACCGTCTCTGGACCGTCTCTGGACCGTCTCTGGACCGTCTCTGGCTCATCTCTGGACCGCCTCTGGACCGCCTCTGGACCGTCTCTGGACTGCCTCTGGACCGTCTCTGGATCGTCTCTGGGCCGCCTCTGGACCGTCTCTGGACCGCCTCTGACCGTCTCTGGACCGTCTCTGGATCGTCTCTGGACCGTCTCTGGATCGTCTCTGGGCCGCCTCTGGACCGTCTCTGGACCGTCTCTGGACCGTCTCTGGATCGTCTCTGGATTGTCTCTGGACCGTCTCTGGACCGCCTCTGGACCGTCTCTGGACCGTCTCTGGACCGCCTCTGGACCGTCTCTGGCTCGTCACTGGATCGTCTCTGGGCCGCTTCTGGACCGTCTCTGGACCGCCTCTGACCGTCTCTGGACCGTCTCTGGATCGTCTCTGGATCGTCTCTGGACCGTCTCTGGATCGTCTCTGGGCCGCCTCTGGACCGTCTCTGGACCGTCTCTGGACCGTCTCTGGATCGTCTCTGGATCGTCTCTGGACCGTCTCTGGACCGCCTCTGGACCGTCTCTGGACCGTCTCTGGACCGTCTCTGGACCGTCTCTGGATCGTCTCTGGCTCGTCTCTGGACCGTCTCTGGACCGTCTCTGGCTCGTCTCTGGACCGCCTCTGGACCGTCTCTGGACCGTCTCTGGATCGTCTCTGGATCGTCTCTGGACCGTCTCTGGACCGCCTCTGGACCGTCTCTGGACCGCCTCTGGACCGCCTCTGGACCGTCTCTGGCTCGTCACTGGACCGTCTCTGGACCGTCTCTGGCTCGTCTCTGGACCGCCTCTGGACCGTCTCTGGACCGCCTCTGGACCGCCTCTGGATCGTCTCTGGACCGTCTCTGGACCGTCTCAGTCTTGGGACGATTTCGGAAACAACTTTGGTTTTGTTCCGCTAAAGTCACAACGGTAGAATATGAGGTAATAATAATAATTGCTTGAATGGAATGTTTTTTTCTTAATTTGAGTTAATTCTGACCAGATTCTCCGACGGGACAAAGACATTTAGTCTCATTCCAAGAACTGTTCCAAGCGAGACATTTCTGTATCTTTTTAAATCAAGATCATTTTTCTTGTCCCTTATGCAAATCTTATTTTAAGGTCGTAATGTACTAATTAAGATGCATTGTGCTTATTATTTATCACCTTTTGCAGTGTTTTGCATTTTTCATTCAGGCGACGGTTCAAATAACTAGGTCGACTGTTTGTTTGGAAGAGCAAAGTGATGTCTATAAAGAATGTGTATAAATGTCTCTGAACACACTGGGCCACACGGAGCTGCAGTGGTCACAGTAGGCCTCACTCTGAGCATGGATGGAGCAAAACACAACTCCAGGCCTGTTTTGGATGTGGAACAGTACAAAGGTCCTGGTTTCGATTCCACCTCCTTCTGTGTGGAGTTTCCATGTTCTTTCTGTGTATACGTAGGTTTCCTCCAGGTGCTCCGGAGGAAACCCCTACCACTAAAAACACATACAATAGTTCAAATGTCTGTGAGTGTGGGTTACATTCTGGTTACATTTGCTGTTGTTACTGAATACACAGTCCCATCCACTAATATAATATCTCAAAAATACCTCAAAATATCTCAATATGTAATCTTTTTTTTTGCATTATAATTGTTGCCTTGTTATGTTTTTTGAATATAACATTTTGATCGCTCAAACTCAAAACTCAAAATGTCCTTGAACACACAGAATCTGTGAAGTTGTTGGTTTTAGTTGTTGTGGTTTGTGGATGCGTTACACACATATCAGTCACATGTCCACTTCTTTTGTGTAAGCAACCTTCTGGAGTTACTATACGCCCCAATAAATAATTTACGTTTTAGATTTTCTTCCACTTCTGCACTTAAGCTGAAATATGTCCTTGAAGATGGCGGCGAGCTGCGCTCCGCCGTAATCCGCTGTGATCCGCCACTTTTACATTCTCTCTCCGTGCACGGCCCAATTATTCACACAGTAACATAATCTGACTGTAGAGTCCCCTGTCACAGTATAAAACAAGACAGATGCGTAAAGAGAGAGCACATTACCCCTGTGCTGGTGTCTCACTCTCTACCCTCTCTCTGGTGTCACTCGACCGGCTCTCTCTACCCTCTCTCTGGCGTCACTCGACCGGCTCTCTCTACCCTCTCTCTGGAGTCACTCGACCGGACCTCTCTACCCTCTCTCTGGCGTCACTCGACCGGCTCTCTCTAC